TATATATATACACACACACACACAATCATACAGTATAGCCATTATTTTCGTACTTGTAAACCACAAAATGACAGTTTTGGGCACTTTGCTGATGTAGTTTAAATGCAAACAGTCAAGAAACTAGAAGAGCTGATCACATCCACAAAAATAAATTGTGACTATGTTTGAAAAATTTGAATACACCTTGTTTAATGTTTTATGTAAAACTAGTGTTGATAAAGAACAAAATGTACAACATGCGTGACATTCCAGATGTGGAGTATTTGTAGATGACTGGGGTGATATTAAAACTATTTTAGAACAACTTCACAAAAACAATGAGGTCACTTTGGTTAAAAACTGATGTGAGGTCAAAGCACAAGTTACCAAAAAAATATATAAATATAAATAAAAAATCAATACAACCAAAGAGTCAGCTTGAACCAGTGGTGTTGAACCACAAATATTAGAATTTTTAGTTTTAAAAAATAGTTTTTTTGTTTGTTTTTCATTAGTTTTATTGCTGTTCTTGTGCTTGGACAGTGCATTTTAGTCTTTTCTCAGCAATAAAAGCGTACCATAAGTCACCTTCCTTCAAAAACAGTTGTTTGTAGGTGATACACTTCTGAAATGAAAATGTATTTTGCTCACAGTTTGAATCAACTTCCTGGCCTCATATGACCACAGACAGCCTGTTCTAAAGGACAGGTCCAAAAAGAGTAGGCAGTCACTAAAAGTGATTTATAAAACGTTATAAACGTTAACATGGGACATATTAAAGATTAAACCAACAACAATTGTTGTTTTCATAAACTATGATTAGCCAAGTTTATGAGTGGTTAACCAAAAGTCTACTTTTTGGAATAAAAGCAGTAAACATGGTTAATTAAAGACAACTAACTTGTATTATAGTTAACGTTGCATATTTTCTGTGTTCATCAGCCTCGACCTGTTAAAGCCCAGAATGACACAAGTCTTTAACAGGAGTCCTGGTTCAAACAGCTCCAGTTTACCCACAGGCTGCACCTTACACACCAACTGTCTGACTGGTTTTACACATTAAAGAAGAAGCTGTTGGCTTTTTCTAATGTCCTCATTATGTGTAACACAATGGTCATCATTGTGTGTTCATGTTGTGAACAGCAGCAGGTCCTCATGCTCTGATCAGACTGATTCTCTTCTGGTTTTTTATTGAGAAGCTTTGTTTAAAAAGCTCTATTCTTTGAATCACCTCATTCATTCATTGAAATTTACTTTCTGATAAACTGATAAAAATCAACAAGCTGGAATTTTCCAGTCTCTCATATTATTTCTGCCACAAAGACCAGATTCAGAAAGTCTCTGCACCATTTTATAATGTGATTTTTCATAATGTGATTTTTTAT